AGATGAACAACCTCAGGGAGTGGCAGGGACCCGCCCAAGGTCACTAGTGTGAGGAGAGCTCCAGGAACTGTCAGCCTGACTGTAAACCCCACTACACAGAGGCTGCCCCTCGGGCCTAGATGGCCCATACACAGTAAGTCACATACCAGGTAGAGAAATAGTATTGACAGTCCCGATGCTTATTGGACATGTTGACACATGGCCTCCTACCAGTAGCCAGGAGCCAGGGAAAAGCCTGGGCTTTGGCAAAACAGGACTGAGGAGGAATCTTGCCTGTGATAATGTGACCCTAGGAAAGCCACTGCACCTCTCTGATGTCAGAGCCTACTTCTGGAAATTGAGCTTAAGGGTACTCTCTTTAGAGATGTATTGGGAAAAGTCAGTTAAACGCCCAAACCAAACATGAAAGTCACTTACTGCCAAACTTCAGCCACGTGTCTGGCCCACAAGTGCCCAGGGTCTTCCCTTCATAGCAGTATCCTGCCAAGTTCAGCTCTCAGTCCACCGCGTTCAGTCCTGGCTTCCTCTGGGTCCCTCTAAGTCACCCTTCTGGCCCGTCTTCCCTCTTCCCAGTACTGCTCCTCTCCCCAGGGCCTCCCCTGGTCCCTATCTGAGCACCAGTTGCCAGGAATAAGCCTTCCTCTTAAAGGGACATAATGGTGGCCATTGGGATTACCCCCCTACCTGGTCCTCCTGGGTCTGTACCTCAGGGAGAAAAATTCTCCCTCTCTGGGTTTCAGTGGCCTTATCATGTGGAAAGGGTTGTGAGGAGAATTGAGGGAGGGACGATAGGAAAGGCATTTGTAAGAAGCAGCCCATTTTTTAAGGAGCCAAGGGTGCTTATCTCTGTTTTTAGAAAGGTGGATCCAGTCCATAGGAGATGAAAGCCCCTCCTGCCCAGTGGGCCACACTCCAGGCTTTCTGGATCCCAGCACTAGGGGTGGGGCCCAGGAATCTGCACTTAACCTGTTTCTAGGAATGCTTCGACAATGGAACAGGTCAATGAAGATACCGGTGGCTCACACCTGTAATCCTAGCACTTTGGGAGGCGGAGGCGGGCAGATTGCCTGAGTTCAGGAGTTCGAGACCAGCCTGGGCAACATGGTGAAACCCTGTCTCTACTAAAATACAAAAAATTGGCCAGGCGCAATGGCTCACGCCTGTAATCCCAGCACTTTGGGAGGCCGAGGTGGGTAGATCACAAGGTCAGAAGTTCAAGACACCCTGGCCAACATGGTGAAACCCCGTCTCTAATAAAAATTACAAAAATTAGCTGGGCACGGTGGTAGGCACCTGTAATCCCAGCTACTCGGGAGACTGAGGCAGGAGAATTGTTTGATCCCGGGCGGCAGAGGTTGCAGTGAGCTGAGATTGTGCCACTGCACTCCAGCCTGGGTGATAGAGTGAGACTCTGTCTCAAAAAAAAAAAAAAAAAAAAAAAAAAAATTAGCCGGGCGTGGTGAAGTGTGCCTGTACTCCCAGCTACTCAGGAGGCTGAGGCAAGAGAATCACTTGAACCTGGGAGGCAGAGGTTGCAGTGAGCCGAGCTCGCACCACTGCACTCTAGCTAGACTCTGTCTTCAAAAAAAAACCTGGTCAAGTGTCCTGTATAGTGGTTAGCCCATAGTAGAGAATAACAAGCACCAGTTCTTACTATCTCACCTTTTATAGTTCTATCAGGTGGGGTTTATATCCTCATTAGATATAAAGAAACTTAAGCCCAGTGAGGAAAGGTGACCTGTCCAAGTCCTTAGAGTTAGCCAGGACCAAACTGCAGTTCTCCTGATTCCAACTCCGGTGATCTTCCAAGATACCATAGCTACCCAGTCAGAAAAGCAAGAATTGTGCATGGGGCCTGGTGCGGTGGGTCACATCTGCAATCCCAGCACTTTGGGAGGCTGAGTCATGAGGACCATTTGAGGCCGGGAGTTTGAGAGCGGCCTGGACAAAATAGTAAGACCCTACTCTCTCTCTCTCTCTTTCTCTCTCTCTCTCTCTCTCTCTGTCTCTCACAAACATACACACACACACAAATACCATGCAGATTTTCATGGCTTCATAGCATTTCATCTTCTAGATGGGTCTTTGTCCATTTGTTCATTTAAACAATTCCATATTTTTTTCTTTTCCTGTTTTTTTTTGTTTGTTTGGTTGGTTGTTGCTGTTTTTAGATAGGGTCTCAACTCCGCCGCCCAGATGAGTGCAGTGGTGCACTCCTCCACCTCTGAGGCTCAAGTGATTCTCCCGCCTCGGCCTCCCAAGAAGCTGGGATTACAGGTGCACCCCACCATGACTGGCTAATTTTTGTATTTTTAGTAGAGAAGGGGTTTCCTCATGTTGGCCAGACAGTCTCAAATTCCTGACCTCAGATGATCCACTTTTCTCTGCCTCCCAAAGTGCTGGGATTACAGGTGTGAGCCACTGCACTTGGCTCCTTTTCCTAATTTCAAAAAGTTGAATTGCTGGTTCATATAATCTGCACTTTTTTTTTTTTTTGAGACGGAGTTTCGCTCTTGTTACCCAGGCTGGAGTGCAATGGCACGATCTCGGCTCACCGCAACCGCTGCCTCCTGGGTTCAAGCAATTCTCCTGCCTCAGCCTCCTGAGTAGCTGGGATTACAGGCATGAACCACCATGCCCAGCTAATGTTTTGTATTTTTAGTAGAGACGGGGTTTCACCATGTTGACCAGAATGGTCTTGATCTCTCGACCTCGTGATCCGCCCGCCTCAGCCTCCCAAAGTGCTGGGATTACAGGCTTGAGCCACCGTGCCCGGCTTTTTTTTTTTCTTGAGATAGGGTTTCTTCACTCTTGTCACCCAGACTGGAGTGCAGTGGCAAGATCTGGCTCATTACAGCCTCAGCTTCCTGAGCTCTTGTGATTCTCCTATCTCAGCCTCCTGAGTAACTGGGACCACAGGTGCCTACCACCATGCCCGGCTAATTTTTTGCATTTTTAGTAGAGACAGGGTTTTCCCATGTTGCCCAGGCTGGTCTCGACCTCCTGAGGTCAAAATCCACCCACCTCCAAAACCTAAAATGCAATAAAAAAAAAAAAAAAAAAAAAATCCACCCACCTTGGCCTCCCAAACTGCTGGGATTACAGGTGTCAGCCACCAAACTCGGCTCTACATTTATTTTCATGTGAAACGCAAAGCAGGTAGTGTTCATCCCATTTTACAGGTGAAGACACAAAGCCTCTAAGAGGTGAAGTGACTTGGCCAAGGTCACACAGTGGTGGAGCCGGGAAGACAACCTCAAACTGACTCCAAAGTCAATGCAATGGTTAAATAATTGTGAATAGAATCTGGGAAGTTGGCTGGGCATGGTGGCTCACACCTATAATCTCAGCACTTTGGGAGATCACTCAAGGTAAGGATTTTGAGACCAGCCTGACCAACATGGTGGAACCCTATCTATCTCTACTAAAAATACAAACTTAGTCGGGCATGGTGGCACATGCCTGTAATCCCAGCTACTCCGGAGGCTGACACATGAGACTTGAACCCAAGAGGAGGTGAAGGTTGCAATGAGCATAGATCGCACCATTGCAGTCCAGCCTGGGCAAAAAGAGTGAAATTCTGCCTCGAAGAAAAAAAAAAAAAATTAGGCGGGTGTGGTGGCACATGACTGTAATCCCAGCTGCTTAGGAGGCCAAGGCAGGAGAATCTCTTGAACCCAAGGCAGAGGTTGCAGTGAGCCAAGATCGTGCCACTGCACCCCTGGCCGGGTGACAGTGAGACCCTGACTCAAATAAAATAAGGCCCTGGCCAGGCGCGGTGGCTCATGCCCGTAATCCCAGCACTTTGGGAGGCCGAGACAGGCAGATCACGAGGTCAAGAGATCGAGACCATCCTGGCCAACATGGTGAAACCCCGTCTCTACTAAAAACACAAAAATTAGCTGGGTGTGGTGGCACGTGCCTGTGGTCCCAGCTACTCGGGAGGCTGAGGCGGAAGAATCGCTTGAACCCAGGCGGCGGAAGTTGCAGTGAGCCGAGATTGCGCCACTGCACTCCAGCCTGGCGACAGAGCAAGACTCCGTCTCAAAAAATAAAATAAAATAAGGCCCTGTTTAAAAAATTAAAAATAAACAAGTAAAAATACAAAACTTAGCCGGGGATGGTGGCACACACCTGTAGTCCCAGCTACTCGGGAGCCTGAGGCAAGAGAATCGCTTGAACCTGGGAGGTAGAGGTTGCCGTGAGCAGAGGATCGCGCCATGCACTCCAGCCTGGGCAAAACGAGACTTTCTCAAAAAAAAAAAAAAAGAAGAAGAATCTGGGAAGCTCTCCAAGGAGATGGACCGTGACAGCTGGGTTTTATGTGTGGACAGAAGTTAATAAGGTTCGGGGAAGGCAATTCGGCAAAGTTCAAAGCCTGAGCAAAGGCCTTCAGAAGACTTCTTTCTTTTCTTTTTTTGAAGCGGAGTTTCGCTCTTGTCCCGAGTAGCTGGGATTACCGGCATGCACCACGCCCGGCTACTAATTGTGTATTTTTAGTAGAGTTGGGAGTTTCTCCTTGTTGTTCAGGCTAGCCTCGAACTTTCGACCTCAGATGATCCGCCCGCCTTGATCTTCCAAAGTGCTGGGATTACAGGCGTGAGCCACCGCGCCCGGTCCAGATTTCTTACGGCTCAAAATTTGTAAGGCAAAGGGATCACTACAAATCTTGTGAGAGTGGAGAGAGACCCTGGCTCTCTTAAGTCACCCCGCCAGACCCAGCCCCTTGTCTGCCAAGTAGCAATCACCATCAACCCGCCAATTCTGATCCTGCCCTTGTCTTCCGAGTTCAACATCTCACTTCCTGCCCGGCCAATGCTCAGGCCCCGCCTCCGTCTTGTTTGGAGCAATCCAATCGAACCTGGAGGGCTCCGCCCCGCCCTATACCACGCCCCCTCCTCCAGGGGTAATCAGAATCAGCTCAGGCCCCGCCCCTGCCTCGGGCCACCGAGACCACGCCCCTTGCATTTTGGCTCAATCAGTCAGCTGTCCCCGCCTCCAAAGCCCCGCCCCGTCGAATCTTAACCCTGCGCTGTTTCGGCGGCTGCATCTTCGGGACTCCGCCCCGCGCGCGTAACTGCAGCCATGGCGGTCACCCCTCAGGGCGCCCGCAGGAAAGAGCGCGTCCTCTGCCTGTTTGACGTGGATGGGACCCTCACGCCGGCTCGCCAGGTAGGACCCTGAAGTTTAGAAGCTCCCGCCGGGGGTGTCACACGGACACCCCGGAGGCTGAGTGTGGGGTCTGCAGCAGCGTGACCGTGGACACTCTGGGACCGAGTGTGGGATGTGGCGTTACCCGGCCACCTGACATTAGGGCTGCCCACCGGGAGTGAGGGGACCTGGTCCTCCAATCACTGCCCGTGCAGCGTCCCTGCCTGTGTTCTGCTTGGGAGTGCTGGAGTTGGATCCAATACTGGAGGGAGGAGGCTGCGAGCGGGGGCCTACCTCCCTTCCCCAGAGGCTTTCACACGCCTCAGAGGCCTGGCTCCGAGATGCACCCCCGCCCGAACCGGGGATCCCACCCTAGTTCAGCCCTACGACGCACCAGTGGTGGGAGCTGGCTTCTGAACCGGGAGTTCCAGGCACACAAGCACACAGCCAAGCGTCAGTCACCATCTGGTGGGAGACGGGGGGTGTAGGAGCCACCCCACCCCGACCTTTGCAGGTCTGGGCCTCCCCCAGCAGAGAAGGGTTCTTTTCAAATGCTTTTATGGGCTCTACCCACCCAGAGGTGAGAGGCTCCAGGCCTAGTCTGTTTACTGTGAGGACACTGAGACATAATGAGGATAGGATTGTAGTTTTCCTCCTAAAGGCTCTCGCTGTGTTGAGCCTCTTAAATCTGCTCAGTTTTTCTCCCACTGGGTCTCATCCTGAGTGAGTCCCCCAAAGCCCCCTCACCAGCTGGATGCATGAATAAGCAGGCTTCATTCATGCCCTCCCTGTGGGTAACTCACCCTCCAGTGTGGGGCCCTTAAGGACCAACTTAACAGGTCTAGAGATGGGGAGCAGTGGGGACGGGTTTTACTAGGCAGTGGTTCATGGGAACCTAGGTCTTAGCCTCCTCTTTTTTTTTTTTTTTTTTTTTTTTTGACGACACAGAGTGTCGCTCTTGTTACCCAGGCTGGAGTGCAATGGCGCGATCTCGGCTCACCGCAACCTCCGCCTCCTGGGTTCAGGCAATTCTCCTGCCTCAGCCTCCTGAGTAGCTGGGATTACAGGCACGCGCCATCATGCCCAGCTAATGTTTTGTATTTTTAGTAGAGACGGGGTTTCACCATGTTGACCAGGATGGTCTCGATCTCTTGACCTCGTGATCCACCCACCTCGGCCTCCCTTTTTTTTTTTTTTTTTGAGACGGAGTTTCGCTCTCGTTACCCAGCCTGGAGTGCAATGGCGCGATCTCGGCTCACCGCAACCTCCGTCTCCTGGGTTCAGGCAATTCTCCTGCCTCAGCCTCCTGAGTAGCTGGGATTACAGGCACGCGCCACCATGCCCAGCTAATTTTTTGTGTTTTTAGTAGAGACAGGGTTTCACCATGTTGACCAGGATGGTCTCCATCTCTTGACCTCGTGATCCACCCGCCTCGGCCTCCCAAAGTGCTGGGATTACAGGCTTGAGCCACCGCGCCTGGCCGGCCTCCTCTTTTAGGTCCTGAATGCCTTTCCCCATCCTCTATGGTGAAGTTGCCTTGGCTTGGGCCCTGGGGGCTCAAGGATCAACCCACTCTGCCTTCCTGCAGGGGTGACCCAGGAGAAAGATGGCAGGACTGGAGTGAAAGTGGGCTGGTTGAGGTGGCTCACTTCTGTAATCCTAGCACTTTGGGAGGCCGAGGCAGGCAGATCACCTGAGGTCAGGAGTTGAAGACCAGCCTGGCTAACATGGTGAAACCCTATCTCTACTAAAAATACAAAAAATAGCTGGGTGTGGTGGTACACGCCTGTAGTCCCAGCTAGAAGGACTACAGAGGCAGAGGCAGAATTGCTTGAACGTAGGAGGCGGAGGTCGCAGCGAGCCCTGATCGCCCCATTGGACTCCAGCATGGTTCACAGAATGAGGCTCCATCACAAATAAATAAAAGAACTGGAACAAAGGTGGCAGGGCCTAGACCCAGTTCTGACACCTCCCTCTGACCTTTTGCTTTACGGACATAACAACCTGAATAATAACAGCCCGTTAATTTTTCTATGGGCCAGGCTCTGTGCTTAGTGCCTTTTGAAAGTTAATTTTTAATTGTACACATATTCATGAACACATTCTCCTGATGAAGAATGAAAACATAACAGAGAAGGGTAAAGTCTCCTCTGACCACATCAGGATCCCAGGCCTGGCCCCCTCCCCAAGGCAATGTGGTTCAAGTGGTGTGGCTTACCTCCAGGGCTTTATCTGCTTTATCTGGATATGTTTGCCCAGGGTATTTTTTTTTTTTTTTTTTTTTTTTAGTGGCAGAGTCTCAGTCTGTCACCCTGGCTGGAGTGCAATAGGGCAATCTCGGCTCACTGCAACCTCTGCCTCCTGGTTTCAAGTGATTCTTCTGCCTCAGCCTCCCGAGGAGCTGGGACTACAGGCTCATGCCACCACGCCTGGGTAATTTTTTGTATTTTTAGTAGAGACAGGTTTTTACCATTGGCTTCTCGAGAATCAACTTGATTGTGATGCTGTTTTGTTGTTGTTAGAGACAGGGTCTCGCTCTGTCACCCAGTCTCTGGAGTGCAGTGGTGCGATCAAAGCTCTCACTGCAGCCTCGAACTCCTGGGCTTAAGTGATTCTCCTGCCTCAGCTTCCTGAGTAGCTGGGACTACAGGCGAGTGTCACCATGCCAATTTTCAGCTGGGTGTGCTGGCTCATGCCTATAATCCCAGTACTTTGGGAGGCCCAGGCTGGTGGATCATCTCAGATCAGAAGTTCGAGACCAGCCTGCCCAACATGGTGAAATACTGTCTTTACTAAAAATAAAAATAAAAAAAATTGGCTGGTGGCCGGGCGCGGTGGCTCAAGCCTGTAATCCCAGCACTTTGGGAGGCCGAGGCGGGTGGATCACAAGGTCGAGAGATCGAGACCAACCTGGTCAACATGGTGAAATCCTGTCTCTACTAAAAATACAAAAAAAAAAATTAGCTGGGCATGGTGGCACGTGCCTATAATCCCAGCTACTCAGGAGGCTGAGGCAGGAGAATTGCCTGAACCCAGGAGGTGGAGGTTGCGGTGAGCCGAGATCGCGCCATTGCACTCCAGCCTGGGTAACGAGCGAAACTCCGTCTCAAAAAAAAAAAAAAAAAAAAAAATTGGCTGGTGTGGTGGCTCATGCCTGTAATCTCAGCACTTTGAGAGGCAGAGGTGGGTGGATCACAAGGCCAAGAGTCCAAGACCAGCCTGGCCTAGGTAGTGAAACCTCGTCTCTACTAAAAATACAAAACTTAGCCGAGTGTGGTGGTGGATGCCTGTAGTCTCAGTTACTTGGGAGGCTGAGGCAGAAGAACTGTTTGAACGTGGGAGGCGGAGGTTGCAGTGAGCTGAGATTGTGAGCTACACTCTCCATCCTGGGCAACAGAGCAAAAGTACATCTCCAAAAAAAAAAAAAAAAAAAAAAAAAAAAAAAAATTTCATAGGCTCTAGTCTCAAACTCCTAGATTAAGCGATCTTTCTGCCTTGGCCTCCCAAAATGTTGGGATTACAGACCTGAGCCATGATACCCCCCTGGCTGCCAATTTTTGGTGTCTAAGCCTTGTATTGTTTCAGATCCATGTAGAATGTGGGCTCCCTGGATTCTGACCACTAAATGAGGGCTAAGTGGAGATCCTAGGCATCCTGAAAGCCAGAATGCTGTACTTCCCCCTTCCCCCATAGAAAATTGACCCTGAGGTGGCCGCCTTCCTGCAGAAACTGCGAAGTCGAGTGCAGATTGGTGTGGTAGGCGGCTCTGACTACTCTAAGATCGCTGAGCAGCTGGGTGACGGGGATGAAGGTAGGTGTGGGGCTGGGGGTAGCAGGAGTGGGGAGTTCGAGAGATTCCTAGGCATATTCAAAGAGCCAATCCTGCTTCTCTGGGGCAGAAGAAGAAGAGAGAGAGCAGCCAGATAGTTCCCTCACTGATTCCACAAACATCTGAGCATCTCCTATTGCCCGGCATTGTGCCAAGCCCTAGAGCAGGCGTCCCCAAACTTTTTACACAGGGGGCCAGTTCGCTGTCCCTCAGACCGTTGGAGGGCTGCCACATACTGTGCTCCCCTCACTGACCACCAATGAAAGAAGTGCCCCTTCCTGAAGTGCGGCGGGAGGCCGGATAAATGGCCTCAGGGGGCGCGGGCCGTAGTTTGGGGATGCCTGCCCTAGAGAAACAGCTAGGAACAAAGCAGGCAGAACTTGCCCTTATGCAGTTTACTTCTCATTTCTTCCTGCTGAGTCTTGATTTCTTTATCTTTAAAATGGGCTGAACTGGCCAGCACAGTGGCTCACAGCTGTAATCCCAGCACATTGGGAGGCCAAGGCAGGCGGATCACTTGAGGTCAGGAGTTCAAGACCAGCCTGGCCAACATGGTAAAACCCCATCTCTACTAAAAATGCAAAAATTAGCTGGGTGTGGTGGCACACCCCTGTAGTCCCAGCTACTCAGGAGGCTGAGGCAGGAGAATCACTTAAACCTGGGAGGCAGAGGTTGCAGTGAGCTGAGACCACGCCACTGCACTCCAGCCTGGCAACAGAGTGAGACTCCATCTCAAAAAAAAAAAAAAAAGCTGGGCATGGTGGCACATGCCTATAATCCCAGCTACTCAGGAGGCTGAGGCAGGAGAATCGATTGAACCTGGGAGGCGGAGGTTGCAGTGAGCCAAGATCAAGCCAATGCACTGCAGCCTGGGTGACAGAATGAGGCTTCATATAAAAAAAAAAAAAAAAGGGGGGGGGGGGCAGAATCAATGATGGCTACTATTTGTCAAAAATGATCATGTGTTAATGTCATTTCTTTTTAAGATGAGGTTTCATTATGTTGGTCAGGCTGGTCTTGAACTCCCGACCTCAGGTGATCCGCCTGCCTTGGCCTCCAAAGTGCTTGGATTACGGGCCTGAGCCACCACGCCCGGCCAATGTCATCTCATTTAATCCCTACAATCCAATCACATTTTAGAGTAGGTGTGATTATCCCATTTAACAGAGGATGACTCTGAACTTATCTAGGAAATTGCTTGGACCTCAAATCTCCTGGACTCAGCTCGGTCAAAGTGGGTGCCTCCAGTTCCTTGAGCCAGAAACTTCCTTGAATTTTTCCTTTTCCACACCCCTTGTTTATTCCATCAGCAAACCCCAAAATATCTTTCTGTCCCCTCTGTCTCCATTTCTACCACCCCATCATAGTCCAGGTGACCACATGCCACCCAGACACTGCAACAGTCTCTGGGCTGTGCTCCGTGTGCCTCCCATCTCCCACCTCCCACCTACTCCAGCTGCTTCTCGAGGCAGCCAGAGCTGAAAACTCCAACTGCCCCATGCAGCCAGCTTTGAGAACACAATGTGATGGCAGCTGTAGAATGGAAGGAAGCCCCTTTGCAGAGGGGCCGGGGAGTACAGACTGGAAATGATGCCCTCTGCCAGAGAGTACTGCACAGCTTCCAGAGAGGGAGCTGGATCTTGGAGGATGAGTGGCAGGGAAGCCAAGGCAGGGCGGTCCTGACAGAACGACCTGGACGGATGCCTGTGTGCAGAGGCCCAGATCCTTTGGAAGAAAACCAAGCTGCAGAGGGAGAAAGGCTGGAAAAGCAGGTTGCAGCCTGGGATTGAACAAATGGCCTTTGAATGTGAAACCAAGGGTGTGAGCTTCCTCTCTCTTTACTTGCCTATGGTGTCACAGACCTGGTCTCACAATCTTTCTTTTTCTCATCCTCTATGTGGCACCAAAGTCATTGAGAAGTTTGATTATGTGTTTGCTGAGAACGGGACGGTGCAGTATAAGCATGGTCGACTGCTCTCCAAGCAGGTCAGTGTGCCAGGGGTACCCCACTTTCCACAGTGGGGCAGTCAAGGGTACCTTCTGTGCTGGGCTCGGGGAGAGATGTTGTGCCTGTCTCAGGGTCAGGCAGCCCAGGCCACACTCAGAGCCCTGTGTTCCTTGCCCAGACCATCCAGAACCACCTGGGGGAGGAGCTGCTGCAGGACTTGATCAACTTCTGCCTCAGCTACATGGCCCTGCTCAGGCTGCCCAAGAAGCGGTGAGGTCCCACCAGCCTGATCTCCAGAACCTGGGGCCTGAGGGAGGAGAAGTGTGGGTCCCTGAGAGGGAGCCTGGAGATACTTGGGCCCCTGATTTTTTTCGGGGGGAGTGTGGATTCTTGTCCCCTTTGAAGTCCGACAAGGCTGAGACCCCAGGTGGGGCTAGATTTGAATTCAGGTTTGCTCTGGTTCTCTCTGGCTCCCCACCCTCTTGCACCACCAGTGGAACCTTCATCGAATTCCGGAATGGCATGCTGAACATCTCGCCCATCGGCCGGAGCTGCACCCTGGAGGAGCGGATCGAGTTCTCCGAACTGGACAAGGTACTACTAGCTGTGCAACCTTAGGTCTGTGGGGCCTCAGTCACTCAATTTCTCTGAGCCTTTATTTTCTCATCAGTAAAATAGGCTGCGGGAGGTGTTCTGATTCAGCTGAACCCTTTTGGGCACCCACCATGCGCCATTGTCACAGACACACCTGCATCTTTCCAACACTGCTGGTCCCCCTCCCTAGGTGACCAGCACCAGCAGCACTCACTGAGCCACCCCAACACCTGGGAACACTATTTCCACCTTCCCACCCACATCGGGTCCAACGACTCCTATTTCCTCAGCCTCTCGAGTCAGTGTCAAATCTGTTCATCTGCAGAACTGAGACCCCACTCTCCAGATTACCCCTTTCCCCCCAGCCCACTCCAACTTTCCTCTCTGTCTCTCCCCACCTCGCATAAGCCTTGTCAGCCTGCTCTCCAACAATGCCACTGAGAACCTTTATTTTCTTTTTTGGAGATAGAATCTCATTCTGTCACCCAAACTGGAGTGCAGTGGCATGATCTCGGCTCACCATAACCTCCGCCTCCCAGTTTAAAGTGATTCTCCTGCCTCAGCCTCCTGGGTAGCTAGGATTACAGGCGTGCACCACTACGCCTGGCTAATTTTGAATTTTTAATAGAGATGGGGTTTCTCCATGTTGGTCAGGCTGGTCTTGAACTTCTGACCTCAGGTGATCCGCCCACCTCTGCCTCCCAGAATGCTGGGATTACAGGCATGCGCCACCACGCCCAACCATATATTTTAAGTAGAGATGGGGTTTCACCATGTTGACCAGGCTGGTCTTGAACTCCTGACTTCAGGTGATCCACCTGCCTCAGGCTCCCAAAGTGCTGGGATTACATGAGCCACTGTGCCAGTCTATGAGAAACTTTCAAAAACGTCAGCCACATCTACCCCCTAGCCCCGCTCCCTCGCTTACAATCCTTCCATGGCACCTCGTTCCCAACTGGATGATGTCCTAACCCTCTGCTACAGTGCCCCAAGCCCTGAGAGCTCTGCCTGGCTCCAGCTCTCCAGGTCTCCTCTCTGTGTCCTTCAAGCTCCACTTTCTGTTCCTGGAATACACCAAGGTCCCCTCACCTCTGCCTGTGCTACCCCTGCTAAACCATGATGTGCGTTTTGCTTTCCTCCCCACTGCCTCCCTCCCTCTGAGATGGATCAATCCATCCATCCAAACCTTTCCACTCTGGCCTGTCCACATCATTCCGTCATTCCCTCTGACCTGTTCCTCAGCTCTCCCACCCTCTGCTCCAGCCATGGCCTCCTGGCTGATACTAGAGTCAGCAATGTCCCACTTCAGGGCTGTGCCTCAGCCAGAGCATACTTCTCTCAGGCCCAGCTCGTCCGTCCGTGGGGCCTCCCAAAGCACCACTGCACTTCCTGCTCCTTCCCCTCCCTTATTTTTCCCCAAGCAGCCTTGGCCATCTTCTACTATCTGCTTTTAAAATCCGAATTACTGTCCGTCCCCTTCCCAGAACTGTAAGCTCTGTCAGGGATCAGGGCAGGGATTTCTGCAGCTTGTTTTTTTTTTTTTTTTTTAAGACAGAGTCTTACTCTGTTGCCCAGGCTGGAATGCAGCGGCACAATCTCAGCTCACTGTAACCTCTGCCTCCCAGGTTCAAGCAATTCTCCTGTCTCATTCTCCCAAGTAGCTGGGATTACAGGTTCATGCCACCATGCCCGGCTAGTATTTGTATTTTTAGTAGAGATTGGTTTTACCATGTTGGCCAGGATGGCCTTGAACCCCTGGCCTCAAGTGATCCACCTGCCTTGGTCTCCCAAAGTGCTGGGATTAAAGGCCTGAGGCACTGAGGCCTGCTACGGGGACTTTTTTTTAGTTAAGATTGGTCATTGGCAAGGAAACCCTCCCCCCCACACACATGCTGAGAGGTGACTTCTTGTCCACCCAGGTTCCCAGTCCCAGCTCTACCCATTTGCCTCATAACCTGGAAAAGCAGTTTTTCTACTGAGTGCCTCAGTTTGCTTATATGTAAGGTGGGGGTAATAGCAGTTCCCATCCCATGGGGTGTCATGCGAGATGGCACATGGACCGAGCCTGGTTTGGGATTGGGGAGTCACACACCAACTCCCCACGCCAGAGCCCTGGTTCTTCTCCAGTATTTTTGGCTCTTGTTTGCCCCCTTCTGGCACTGGAGGGGCATGAAGCTTCCTGATCTGTGCTCCCTGCACCGGCCCAGATCTGGTGTAAATGCTTGACCCAGCTCCATTCTTCCAGAACCCTGAGGAAGGGACGTACTTCCCTTCCTTAGATGAGGACGCTGAGGCCAGAGGGTGAGTGACCAGCTCAAGGTCACAGTGCTGGTCGATCCTTGCTGAGGCTGGCCTTGTACATGGGGCTGTCCTGTGACCAGCCTTGTTCTCTAGAGAAGGGAGGTACAGCGAGCCTTGGCCATGTGGAAACATTTCTTCAGAGCTTAGGGCACTCTTAGCAGTAGCCCTGGGCCTGCAGAGTGGCTGCTGGTGGGGACTCTGGCCTCCCTGGAGTCCGTCTACCTGCTGGAAAGCCAGGCCAAGGCTGGCAGGGGGCTCACATCCCTCATCTCTGCTTTTCCATGAGAGGGAAGCAGGCAGGGTTCATTCATTGCTTCTTCCTCCTTTAGTCCAGAAAATAGCCTCAGAGAGGTCAGGTGACTTGCCCATGGTCACACAGCTGAGTACAGCAGCCAAGCCTGGCTACCTGCCTTCAGATCTCAGGCTGGGGGTGTCTGGCTTTATATTTGACATCCTCCCTGAGTCCTTTCTCCAGGCTCCATGCTGCTGACCACTGCCTGCCTTTCTGCCTCAGTCCTACCCAGCTCTGACTACAGGGCCATACCAGCCACCCCACTCCTGTGCTCCAAAATCTTCAGCCCCTCTGGATACCCTAGGATGTGGTCAGACTTCCCAGCCTGGTCTTGAGACCCTCTTGTCAACTGAATGTTCTGCTGGCTGGTTTAGATGTTCAGCTGCCTCTTGGGATGGAGATGGCCACTCCCCTTTGTGGCCCTCTGAGATGGAGATCCTAGAGGGATCCCTAGGGGGTGGTGGGGGACTGTCCCCCTGCTCCATGTTTGCAGAGCTCCTGCCAGATTGCCTGCTCAGAGGGACGGGACAGGCCTGGGCACTACTGAGTCCTCTAGCCCAGGCACATCTTTGCACAGTGGGTGCTGTGCCATGCCTGGCATCCTGCCCTCTCTGAATGCCCACAGCCACCTCCTCATGGCTCTCTTGCTCTCAGCTCCCGCACTCATTTCTGTTTCCTGTATGGAACTGGGCACAGCCAACAGGATCGAGCCCTGCCCGGAGAAAGGCACTGGCGTAGGACACAGACTGCCTGTCTCCTCGGCCTTCCTCTGTTTCTCTCCTCCAAGGCCCCCTTCAGAAGACCCAGCCCACAGCCCGATTGGTAGCCCAATCCCTTCTGGATTTGGGCCCTGGCTCAGCCACCAAGGCTAGGTGACCTTGACCAAGGCATGACCCCTCTCTGAGCCTCAGTTTCTTCCTCTGCACAGTGAGGGGGTCCTGTCCACCTAGAAGGCTCAGCAAGCTCATGTGGATTGTGTGTCCAGCCAGGGCCTGGCACACAGCAGGTCCTCTGAGCTGCCATCCACCCCTTCCCCTCTGCAGAAAGAGAAGATCCGGGAGAAGTTCGTGGAAGCCCTGAAAACAGAGTTTGCTGGCAAAGGGCTGAGGTTCTCCCGAGGTATGTCCACCCGGCAGAGGGACTGGGAGGCCTTGTGCAGGGAACCCTCCTTGCATCATCCGCTCCTCCCAAGACCAGGCTGTGGCCCCCCCGGTGGCTTTAGGAGCCCCTCCCCTGCTCAGGGCAGAGGGGCTGGCTGACCCAATGCAGAAAGGCTCAGTGTTTACCGGTCCCGGGTTTCCCCACCTCATGCCTACCCAGTGTCTCAGCCCAAAAACCTAAGCCTCTCCTTTGAATGCTCTCCCTGGCCCCTTCCTAAGTCCAAACTCTTAGAAGTCCCAGGGCCCCATGCCTGGAATCCCACTGGTGCTCACACCTCCACTGCTTATCCCAGGCTCCAACTGACCCTGACGCAGCCGGGCTCCCCTCTGACACCTCATCCATTCATTCCCCAGTGGCCAGAGAGGCAGGAGCTGGAGTCATGGTGTGCCTCTGCTCAAAGCCCTCCCAAGGCTATTCCTCCCTCTCCACGTGAAGCCCAGGCCCTGCAAGCCCTCCCCCTGCCTCTCCCAGCGTCCTCCACTGCTGGGACTCTAGTCCTTTTCCCTGCCTCAGGGGCTGTGCTTTGTTCCCCAGCCATCCTCACTCGGCTCAAGTCCCAGCTCATTGTCACCTCCTCAGAGGTCTCCCCTGACCACGCTGGCTGGATGAGCTTCTCCCACCCATTTCATGGTCTTGTTTGTTCTCCAGCCTGTGTCATAACTTCCTTGAGGATCCTAAGTCTGTCCCCTGTCCTGATCCTCGAGGGTTGTTGAATAAATGAATGAATGAACGAGCAACCCCTCTGCTAGCCTTTTCTGCCCCGCTCAGGAAGGAATAACAGTCCCCACCCCTGCCCCCAGGAGGCATGATCAGCTTTGACGTCTTCCCTGAGGGCTGGGACAAGCGCTACTGCCTGGACAGCTTGGACGAGGACAGCTTCGACACCATCCACTTCTTTGGGAATGAGACCAGCCCTGTGAGTGTGCTCCAGCCCAGGTTTCCCCCAGTGCAGATCACCCGAGGTCAAGGCCAGAACATGGGGCAACACAACAGACCTCTTGGTGGGGGGGGCCCTGGAGAACCACCATAGCTCGCTAACCGCGTTACACAGATCAGAAGGCTGGGGCCTCCAGAGGGCTGGGCACTTGTCCCACATCACACAGCAAGTCAGGGCAGGAAGGTGATGAGGGCTGAGAAGGTGGGCTTCCTGGCAGTTCTGAAGGGCCAGGAGGAGGGGCGGGTCTATAGCAGCCGATGTGGAAAGCGACTCCCACTAAGTATGTCTTCTCTGCCCATCTTATGTGCAGGGTGGGAACGATTTTGAGATCTTTGCTGACCCCCGCACTGTCGGCCACAGCGTGGTCTCTCCTCAGGACACAGTGCAGCGATGCCGAGAGATTTTCTTCCCAGAGACAGCCCATGAGGCGTGACCGGGGCCCACATCTGTGCATTGTGACTTTTGAAAAGTTTGACCCAGGCCTAAAGAGAGGTCCTGCTGTTGGATAGATGCCTGGGCCCTTCCTCTGGCCCAGGACGCCTGCTGCAAGGCCCACCCAGATGGGGGCCAGAGTCTGTGCGGACAACGTCCCTAGCCGGTCAGCTCCTGGTGGCATTGGCTCCGTCCTCCCAGGGCCCAGAGTGTTCTCTGTGCTCCACCTGGCGGCCCAAGCCACAGCTGCTGCTTGTAATTCGGTACAGAACAGGTTTTTTTCTGCGCCGGGAGGAGGCATGCGCAAGTGTCAGTACGAGATCTAGCCCACTCTGCCTGCACGCCCTGGGCAATGGGGTACGGTGGGGAAGGTGCCTATTTTAGAGAACTTTGTCACAGTATTAAAGTTCCCAGAATGAAGTAGGTGTCAGTCGTGTCTGAATGGATAATTGGCCCCAGTCACTGTCATAGCCATCACTTTGCAGATTAGTAAACAGCACAGAGAAGGCAGGGACTTGGCCCAGGTCACACAAGAAGTCTGATCCAGTCAAGGAGGGGGGCCATTGAAGCCCCAAAGAAGAGCCAGTTTGGTGTGTCTGCCCCCAGCCCTTTCCTTGGGGACCCTGACACAGAGGCAGCTTCAGGCCACAGTGGGTCACAGTTGAGGGTTTATTGCCAGTGTTAGGAAGAATGGGGGATCCGGGTGGCCAGAGGTCTTGGGAGGAATTCCAAATGGGCGCTGCAGGGCCTGTAAGTGGGGATGAGAGCTGCTGCCCCCCTGCCACCCAGGTGGCCCCAGGCCTATGCCACCATATCCTGACTGCTAGTGGTGGCATAAAAGGCAGCTTCTCCACAGGAGGGGAGCCTCGGGGGCCCCCAGGAGTCAACCCTCACCAACAAGCCCTCTCAAGGGGGCCAGGGGCCCTTGTTCCTCATGGGACAGGTTGGGCCATGCCCATTTTAGGGGGATGACCAGCACACCTCAGGAGCTCTGGGCTCCCAGATTTTGTGCCATGGGCCCTGGGGGCAGGCGGGGGGGATGCAGGCACCCCGGCTGATCTCTACCCTGGTCTTGGGGCACCTACAAGGCCAGGGATCCTCCTAGACAGTCACTGATCCCCTCATGTTGGGCATTTGAGCCCCCAGTGTTACTCACCCTGGCCTGCCCTTCCTTGAACCACGGCCCCACTTCCCCCCGTCAGGCGATGTGCTCTCTAGAAGGGAGGGTGGTGGGCAGGGGGTGTGCGCAGAGGTGGAGGCAGACAGGGCCCTCCTTCTTGGCCTCCTGGGCCAGGCCACCCTTGCCCCTGCTTGGGAGTGAATGAATGCCCACCAGCTTGGATGCACACACATCTTGGCCCCAAAAGGACTCCAGGTGACAGTGACAGCTGCACATCTTCAGGGATGGACGCAGTAAGAGCCACACCTGAGCCGATGGTCTATCAGGGCCTTGGGAAGAGGGGCTGATGTGGGGGCCACAGGGCCTTTCTCCCAGGCCCTCCTCATGGGTGCCCGGGCCTGGCCCTGCCTGATGGATGTGTGTTCATCCATCATCGTGGCGTCCTCAGCAGCCATCAGCCGGGCGTGACCCAGAGCATCAGTGGGGCTTGTGAGTCAGGGGAAAGGAGGGCTGCAGCCAAGCTGCAGAGACGGACCCCCACCCTCTGCAGACCCCTGGGCTCACCTCAGCACAGCCCAGGGGGAGGAGCCCGGAGCCACTGTCAGGCCGAGGAGGAGGGACTGGCCAGCAAAATGGGAGTCCCGAACCCCTTCCTCCCTCAGGCCCCTCTTCCTGCCTCTCCAGTGCACTGAGAGAGGAGAGCAGGTAGGAAGGCTGGCCTCAGCAGTGAGGGGGCCACACACCTCCGTGTCTGCCTCTTCCCCTGCCAGAGGCTGGGAGGCTCCCCGAAAGCGCCCACCGGCCAGGCTTCTGAGGGAGGGTCCAGGCCGTGGTGGGGGACCTCAGCCCAGGGAGGGAGACGTGAATAGCACAGAGGCAGAGGCCAGGGGAGCGAGGCTCTCGTGGTTCAGTCACCACGGGGATGAGTAGGCAGGAGGGCAAGTGGGTCCTGTGTGTCTGAGGCAGGGAGGGAAAGACAGAGGCAGTGGACAGCGAGAAGCCACGTCTGGTGGCCTCGCCCTCCACCCACCTCCTGGCCAGCTCACACAGCAGTCACAGGTCATGGGGTGGGTGGAGGCACACGCTCACAGCCACAAGCACAGACAGACAGACAGACGTGCACAGAGGCCACTGAAGGACTGATCAGCTGGGGCAGTGGGGCATGGAGCCAGCTGCTGCCCGTTCACCCTGTGTGGCTCCCCACCCCCTGGCCAGCTGGCCTGTGAGCCACCCAGCCTAGGAGCCCACGACCTGGCCAGACCACGTCTCATGTGGAGTGTGGGGGGCCAGCTGAGTGAGCACCACCTCCACAGCCTGGAACTTCTGGTTCTTGGGCGGGATGGGGCACATCTTGTAGGTCACCTCGTCGCCCTCCACTGGCACGTACTCCCCCTCGATGCTGGCAGGCAGGAGAGGGGGGTGTCAGCCCAGCAGCAGGCCCTGTGGCCCAGACAACCCTGCGGCCTGGCCTCGGGGACAGCCTGGCCCTAAGCCTGGCTAGGCCAGGAAGCCTGGCCAAGCCTTGCTTCTCAGAACCTCAGCTCCCGAATCTGTAAAATGGGACTCATGGGCATGGTGGCTCATGCCTGTAATCACAGTACTTTGGGAGGCCAAGGCAGGTAAATCACCTGAGGTCAGTATTTGAGATCAGCCTGGCCAACATGGTGAAACCCCATCTCTACTAAAAATACAAAAATTAGCCAGGTGTGGTGGCTTGTGCCTGTAGTCCCAGCTACTTGGAAGCTGAGGCAGGAGAATTGTTTGTACCCAGGAGGTGGAGGTTGCAGTGAGCTGAGATTGTACCATTGCGCTCCAGCCTGGGTGACAGAGTGAGTCTCAAAAAATATGGAACCCATAAGCTGTACCTCCTTTTCTGGGTCCCTTAGGGACTGAGATGTGAAAGGGCACAAGGGAGGTCCCTAAAGCTCCGAGAAGCTCAGTGACCTCCCCAGGTCCTCTTGGCATTAGGAGTGGATGGCACCAGGCCTAGCCATCTCTACTTCCTGGCCTACCTGCCTGAAGGACTTTTCCAGGCTGAGAGGCTCAGGAGCTGGCCCAGCCCTCTTAGGCTCCCGCGATGCTGGAACAGGATCCAGGGCCCAGCCACTGGCTCCCAGGCTTCTGGGGTCCACGTGTCCACTCCCCACCTGCTCCCAGCCCTCCTCCCAAAACGCACCCTCAGCCCCTACTCAGAGGACAGAAAAGGTGCCAAGAAAACAGACCTCAGGGCCTGGTGCAGTGGCTCAGGCCTGTAATCCCAGCACTTTGGGAGGATGAGGTGGGTGGATCACAAGGTCAGGAGTTCAAGACTAGCCTGGCCAAGATGATGAAACCCTGTCTCTACTGAAAATACAAAAATTATCCAGGCATGGTGGCAGATGCCTGTAATTCCAGCTTCTTGGGAGGCTGAGGCAGAGAATTGCCTGGACTTGGGAGGTGGAGGTTGTAGTGAGCTGAGAATGCATCACTGCATTCCAGCCTGGGTGACAAAATTTTTGAGGCACCGTGGGGGACGCTAGGGCAGGGGCCAAGAACAAGGAGGTGAAGGGGACTCACTCAGACACGTGCACAAAGATGTCCTCGGACCCGTTCTCGGGGGTGATGAAGCCATGGCCCTGAGCGCGTGAGAACTGCTTACAAACGCCCTTGAACACGGGGCCAGCTGAGGCACGGGCTGTCCTGGAGAGAGGGTAGTGGGATTGGAGCTGTGGCCTGAGTCATCCCTCCCAGCCCCTACACGTTCCTGAGCCCTTTCTGCTGAGCCTGCCTCAGGGCTGGGAAACTTGCCCCAGGCCAGAAACCACACAGTGATTCCCATTCAAGGATAATGAGGCCAGGCATGCTGTCTCACACCTGTAATCCCAACACTTTAGGAGGCTGAGGTGGGAGGATTGCTTTGTCCTAGGAGTTTGAGACTAGCCTGGGCAAAATAGGGAGACCTCCCATCTCTACAAAAAAAATTTTTTTATTTTTTTAGACAAGGTCTTGCTGTGTCACCTAGACTGGAATGCAGGGAGCACAGTCTCAGTTCACTGCAACCTCCGCCTCTCAAGTTTAAGTGATTCTCGTGCCTCAGCCTCCTGAGTAGCTGGGATGACAGGTACCACCACCATGCCTGGCTAATTGTTTTTCTTTCTTTTTTTTTCTTTTTCTTTTTTCTTTCTTTTTTTTTTTCTCTCTTTTTTTTGCTGTCACTCTTAGGATATGCTTAAATTACTTAATTTTTGCATTTTTAGTAAATACAGGGTTTTGCAGTGTTTGGCCATGTTGGCCAGACTGGCTTGAACTCCTGGCCTCAACTGATCTGCCTGCCTCAATCTACCAAAGTGCTGGGATTACAGGCATGAACCACCGTGTCTGGCCCCAAAATTAAAAAAAAAAAAAATTAGCTGGGGTTGGTGGCATGCGCCAGTAGTCCCAGCCACTCAGGAGGCTGAAGTGGAAGGATCACTTAAGCCCGGGAAGTCTAGGCTGCAGTGATTACACCACTGCACTCCAGCCTTGGTGACAGAGCAAGACCCCGTTCTTCTCAAAAGATCCTTTGGCCTCCTCCATATGGACCCATATTACTACTCCATGTGACCTCATCTGTCATCTACCCCAAAGGCCCAGGGCTAGTCTTTGTCCCGCCTGCCCACCCTCTCCAAAGGTTAACTCCATGTCTTGGGTTTTGCCCATGTGGTGCCATCTGCCTGGAACCACAAGCTCCCTTCTTCACATGATACATCTTCCAAACCCAACCAGGACATCATCTCTTCTCATACCCCATGCTGGGTCCTCACCTCTAACCCTGCTAGGTGGTAATGGATGGCAAACAAGTTCCCCCTGGATTGTAAGCAGCTTGTGGGCTGGGACTTTGTCTTATTCATCACTGGATCCCCCCTGGTCAGGAACTCAGTAAATCTTTGTGAAATAGATGGCTGGAGCCGGGCGCGGTGGCTCAAGCCTGTAATCTCAGCACTTTGGGAGGCTGAGGCGGGTGGATCACTAGGTCAAGAGATCGAGACCATCCTGGTCAACATGGTGAAACCCCGTCTCTACTCAAAATACAAAAAATTAGCTGGGCATGGTGGCGCGTGCCTGTAGTCCCAGCTGCTCAGGAAGCTGAGGCAGGAGAATTGCCTGAACCCAGGAGGCGGAGGTTGCGGTGAGCCGAGATCGTGCCATTGCACTCCAGCCTGGGTAACAAGAGCGAAACTCTGTCTCAAAAAAAAAAAAAAAAAGAAAGAAAAAAAAAGAAATAGATGGCTGGATGGATGGACAGATGGATGGGTGGATTGATGGATTGATTGATGGATTGATTGA